CTTTTAGCATGTTATGTGACTTCAACCATCCTTTCACACATACAATAAATGTACAATATTCCATCATGTTGCTTTCCTCATTTTTCAAGTTGTCTGGATATCAGTATTCCTGACTTGGCAATCAAATGGAATAAGGAACTCAGGTACATCAGATATACTGTATGGATTGAGAAGTACATGCAATGAGCTTCTCAAACATTTCTGAAGATCTCTACTTGTAAAAAGGACTGTACCATATAAATCAAATTTATACTTCTCTTTTCCACAGGTCCCCAGCAAAATAAGAATGAGCATTGGTGAGTCAGATCAAAGTTTCACTTAGGATTCTTCTTCCCACTAGCAGGTAAGAGACAGAAAGAACAGGAGCTTCTCCAGTAATGCTCTATAGCATTGGTTCTCAACCTGTGGGTCGGGACCCCATTTGGGGTCGAACGACCATTTCACGGGGGTCGCCAAACAAGGCTGTCCGCCATTTTCCCCTTTTCTTTGGCCATGCACCTGGCACCCAGTGATGTATAAGTGGTTGGGGGTCACCACAACATGGGGAACTGTATTATGGGGTCGCGGCATTAGAAAGGTTGAGAACCACTGCTCTATAGCAACTATTACTAAGGATCTTTGAACATGAAGTTTCCATATTACCATCAGAACGAATTACATTTATTGTAAACCTTTTGGGATATTCACTTGTGTATTGTTCTCCAGTGAAAAGAATAAATGCACCATAAAAAAGGCTGTCTCATATTTAACTTGTGGTCAACAAAGACAAGAGCCAGTTTGGTGTAGTGGTTAAGGAACAATCAAGAAACTGGGAAACCATGAGCTCCGTTCCCACTCTAAGCCCAAAGGCAGCTGGGTGACCTCAGGGCAGTCATTCTCTCTTAACCTTAGGAAGCACGCAGTGGCAAACCACTCTGACATCTTGCCAGAAAAACCTGACTTGTCCAGGCAGTCAGCAGGAGCCAACACTGACTCAAAGGCCACAAACACACACAAACAATCCTTTTCATACAGATCACTGCCAATGCCAGTCTCTCTCATTCTATACTTGTGCCTTTACTTTTTCTTTCTCAGATGAAGAAAATTATGTTTTTTCCTGTTAAATTCCATCACCTTTATTTCAACCCAGTGCTCAAATCTGTTTAGAGATTTTTGAATCTTCCCTTTTTTATCTAAGGCATTAGCCACAGCTGACAGCTATGTGTCATTTGCAAACTTGATAAGCATCCCCTCAGCACCTTCATCCAAGTCATGGATAAAAATGTTGAATAGCACAGGGCCTAGGGAAGAATGCTGTGGGTTTCCGTCAAACTTCTCTCCCAGCTGGAGCCATTATGAAGCATTTTTGTAGTATGGTTATTCAGCCAACTGCGAGTTCATCTAACATAGTATCATTTAGCCCATATTTTATAATTTAAGAAAGGAGAATCTCATGAGGCATTCAGTAAAAATATTAACACACCATGTCTAGATGACTCCTTTGATCTACTGAATTACAAACTATCAAAGAAGTGCAGGTTGTGATAGTGGGTTAACCCATTTTGTATGATAGACTGCACAATTCATTTGCGATAAGTCCATGCTGGGCCTATTAATTGTCACATGTTTATCCAAATGTTCAGAAACATCATTAGTAAAGGAACCAGAAAGATGCCACAGGCTAGCTCTTGGTAGAACAGCAATGAAGACCTTTGAAAGATTTTTAGATGCTGTGACATGTGACACCTGCAAAGTTCAGAATCATGCAGGCAATGGTTTTCCTTAAAATACTCTGTGGCAGAAAACTCCTGAGATTACCATAGATAGCATAGAAAATAAATATATGGATCCTAGAACAAATCAATCCAGAGCAGTGTTTCTCAACCTCAGCAATTTTAAGATGTGTGGACTTCAACTCACAGAATTCTCTAGCCAGCATGCTGGCTGAGGAATTCTGGGACTTGAAGTCCACAAATCGTAAAGTTGTTGAGGGTGAAAAACACTGATCCAGAGTGTTCACTTGAGGGTTAAAATGATCCTACTCTGGATACATAATGGAAAGACCCAGCTCTCTGCAGAAAGTTCCAGTGCTGGGAATGATGGAAAGAAGGAGAAGAAGAGAATGACCAGCAGCAAGTTGGATGGAGCCAAATACAGTGGTACTGAGTGCACTATTGGAAGATCTGAAGGGCCAGTTTGGAGTCCAGTTTTTGAAGATGGAACGATATTAGCTCTCTTCCAGTGTCTTGGAACCTCACCAAATCTTCAGGAGTCTCCAGAGATTATCAACAGCAGTTCTGCAATAACTTTCACTAATCTGGGGATAGCAAACCTTTTGGGCTTGGTGGGTCAAAGATTTGGAAAATGCCTAACTAGCTGCCCCCCCTTCTCTCTCACACACACCCTGCAACAATTCTCTATCTCCTACTGATTTAGGCCACTCTAAACAGGAGCACTTGGTGACAGTTCCAAGGCTGAACCTGAAGAAGAGCCTTGAGCCTTGACTTCAGCCCTAGTACCACCGCTGCCCCTCAAAAAAGCCATGTCATTCCATCCCCCAAGGCATACAAACCCTGGAGACTGGCATGACTGACCCCACAGCCCAGTGTTTCTCAAGATTGGCTATGCACCACTTAGCTTCAGGCTGTGTTTTCTTTCTGTGCAACCTATCCGAGGCTGCTGTGGGTTGCATGAGGCCTTCATTCTTGAAGCAGCTTTGGAGAATGCTCTTCCATGGCCATCTGCAACCTCCAAAATTATATGAGAATGGTGTATACTTGTGTATTGGTGAATGCTAGTGCATCACCCAAAACATTGTGGTGTGTCACCTTTGACACGTGTCATAAGTTCGCCATCATAGTCCCTTCAATACTTGGGACTGTAATCCATCTGGCTGGGAACTTGAATGCATTTAAGTTATTAAATTTTCTCTTACCATCTTCTTTTCCCACTGACACAACCATGGTCAGCTAGGCCTCCATTTCCCTTCTGAGGGAAGACAAGGAAAACAAGAACTAAGAAGTTGTGCCTTCTCATTGTCATTTGTTACAAGCTTCAGCACTTTCTCCACACAATAGAGAAAGACAATATTCCGTCTGCCTTTCCTTTTATTTCTAACATACAACTAACACATTTTCTGGGTTTCTAGTATCTTCACAAGCCTCAGTTCATTCTGAACCATTAACCACATTAACTGGGATCATAAAACATGCTATAATTAGACAATCATATTTTAACCTAGCATATTGTATAAATAGGGTTTACAGAAACAAAGGATGACCTAGTTTATTTGGTTTGGGATTACTCCAATATGCAAACCATCATTCTGATGTGTAAATTGAAGTTTATGGCTTAATGTAATTTCCCCTGTGGCACCGTTTCACAAATACATCTCACAAAACTTTTGTGAGAAAATTTGTGCAAGACATCATGCACACTAGCCAGAGTTCCTTGCAGGAGGTATTGAAAAAAGTATTTTTAAAGAAGTGTACATTATATTGAGGTGGCAACAGATATTTAGAGCATTTTCTGAAAATATCTACAGGAAGTCCTCAATTTACGACCACAATTGGAAAGAGAATTTCCATTGCTAGGCAAGGCAGTTAAGTGAGTTGCACTCAATTTTATAATAGCTTTTTTGCAAGGGTTGTTAAGCAAATCACTGCAGTTAAGTGAACTATGTAGTCATAACTGTCGTAAGTATGACAACCGGTCGTAGGTGACCTTTTTCAGTGCCATTGTAACTTTGAATGTTCGCTAAACAAATGGTTGTAAGTTCAGGACAATCTATACCAGTGGTGGCGAACTTATGGCATGGGTGCCAGAGGCGGCACTCGGAGTTCTCTCTGTGGGCATACGTGCCTTTGTCCCAGCCTTGCCTCCCCCCGTGATCTCCTCTCCAGCAGCCCCCCTGAAGGAGACTCACCCTCGAGTGTGGCCCACACGGAGCAGCGCAGCCAAGGACATGGCAGCCAGGCAGCGTAGACAAGACTCTGCCCTCCCACCCCATCATGCAGTTGATGCTGCAGTGCGTGGGCAGAGGGTGTGACCACCATAGCGCTGCCTGGGCTGCCTGTGCGGCGGGCCCTGGAGGCGGTGAGTGGTCCTGCGGGCAGGCGGGGTGGGGGATGGGAGGGCAGAGCGGAGGCGGGCAAGGGGATGGAGTGGGGGCGGGGCCAGATTTTGGGCACTCAGTCTCTAAAAGGTTCACCACCACTGATCTATACTGTACCACTAAGTTACCTATCCAAGGTAAACATGTGATCAGAAGTTAAATCTGTATGAAATAGCTCTGCCTGCATAGGCCATGTTGAACCATAGCCCAGCCCCTTCACATCAAATATGACTTGAGAAGTGTTGTGAGGGATTTTGTTTAAAAAAATCTAAATTTACCTGCTTGCCATCTCGCTTTCACTTTTCCCACACTAGCTGTGCGGCCTTCCTGCTTAACTGTGTATTTCAAGAACTGCATTTCTGTGGAGTCTTTGGTGCTCCCTGAACCTGGTTGTTTGCTTGCAGGTTGTTTTATTACTTTAAACCAGAGGTCGCCCCCAACCTTTTGGGCACCAGGGACCAGTTCCGAGGAGAGAAGTTTTTCTGCAGACCGGAGGGTGCGCGGTTTTGTGTGCTGCCTGCATCCCACGGATGGGGCTTTGCTTGTTTGTGTGGACGGGTTGCTGGCATGCTGCGGCCTGGTACTGGTCCACGGACCGGAGGTTGGGGACCCCCTGCTTTAAACGATAGGGTTACCTTTATTCCAGTCGTGTAATGAAAGTCTGCAGGCAAACAATCAAGTTCAGAGAGGACCAAGGACTCCACAGTTCAGCCCTGAATTGCACACACTCTCTTCTACGGGAACAATGACATCTGCAGCAGCAACAGCAGCAGCCTCGTTCCTGAAGGGTTAAACCGGCGCCCCCCACCCACCTCCCGCCCCCTTTTGCAGAATGCTGCTGAACCAACCTCGCTACGGTTTGAAAAAGCACCCTCAAAGCACTTGTGCGCCTACAGCGCACGCAGCTCCCCTTAAAGGCGGGGTGACTGTAAACCCCAGCTTTTCTTCAGCTCCTTTCCCCAATAATCCAGCTTTAGCTCTCCCCGCCGCCCTCCCTCCTTCGTTTGGCCTTAGCCCCCGACGCCGGGGCCCTCCGCAGCCTGGGAGGATGAGTCTCTAAGCCTCTCCTAGGGTCTCCTTTCCCGCATCTCCTCCGCGTCCTGCTTATTGCACCCCGAAGCCCCACTCCAGACTTTGTTCCCAAGATGTATCTGGTTTTCTTTTGGTGCTCCTGTTGCCTTTGGGGAGGCTCCTTCGGGACCGGATTTCTCTATCAGTTCCCGGCATCGACTCTGCAACACAATTATCCCGAACAGAGCTCCGGCGGACCGGCGGGCAATGCTTTCGCCAATCGTCGGTGAGTAAGCCAGAGCCCTCCGTCGAACGTCGCGGCTGGGAAGGGCCCGGCACCTCTTAAGGACGAATGGCTCCTTTATAGATAATGGGAACGACGGCCAAGTTGGGGAGGCTCCGTTTCTGCGGGGGGGGGGAGAAGAAGCGGAGATTTAATCTTGTCTGCACGTTTCTGTGGTCGAACGGCGCAAGTGGTTGCCTTCCACGCCTCCCTCCCCATCTCTCCAGTCAGTAATAGGGTTTTGGTTTGTGATTATCTGTATTAGTATTTAGTTGCGTATATGGGCTATTGCAGATTTCCTTCCCTTTCCCACTCCTTTTTGCTCCTTAAGATCTGCCTCGTTTTTATCGCGCCAATTAATTCGTATTGGGAGAAAGGCCGAACTGTAGTTAGACATCCCTGTAGGATGCCAGAAAGTGGACCCAAATTGTTCTGTTTTCTCTTCTTAAAAACTTGCAGTGTTGGAGCATTCACAGAAGTTGTGAATGCTCCAACACTGGAAGTTTTTAAGAAGAGACTGGACAACCATTTGTCTGAAATGGTATAGGTTCTCCTGCTTGAGCAGGGGGCTGGACTAGAAGACCTCCAAGGTCCCTTCCAGCTCTATTCTACTCTAAATTCTATTCAAGTTTATTTTGTACAGCTTTTCTCTCCTTGAAATGTGTGAATGCATCTATGATTGTGCGGTCCTGTTTACACATCATGCTTCACTAACTGAGTTAAAGTCCCACTGGTTGTATTTGCATAATGTGCAAGTTTCACTAATTCATAGAGTTCATAGAATAATGTTAACCTTGGTGCTTAGCTTTAATTTTATATTAGAATAATTTTAGCCTAATGTTGCTTAGTGGGTTCTGTTCGATTTAGTTAGTGGTTCAGTGTAGACCAGAAAGCATTAGTTCAGTAGCCTAATTCAACTAGTTTAGCATTTCAGGCATTTGTCTGCCAGCTTCAGAGCGTTGGGTCATTTTTTAGAACTCAAATGATCCAGCATATTGTGAATCTGCCCAGGAGATCTACTTCAGGTGTTCTACATTTCATACATCACCAGCGAGTCTGAGGAAGAGGGTTTATAAGGTGTTTGCCTGTGGATCATGGGTTTTTATTTTTCTACCACCATCATACACTTGGTGCTTTACACGATTAGGTCTCGGCTCGTATGAAGTTTAGAATCTAAAAGCAAAAAGAACATTGAGGGAGAAATAGAAGAAGAACTGTGTTCTACAATGTTTGGTTGCAACTGGAGTGCAGATTAATGGTTTTAAGTCATTCCACGCTAGCAAGTAATGTCTTCATAGCATCATCCAGCCATATTTGAAGTCTGACCACATTGCTATTCCTGTGGCACAGTGATGATTGGATGACACCCGAAAGTACTTTGAATTGCTAGCATGGAAGTAAAGCCAAGTGCCGTATAAAAAAAGATTTTGAGAAGGGACTTGAAGAAACCAAATGGATATATAGCCTGTGCATGTCAAAGGGAATTTGCTGTAACTTGGGCCCCCAGTATGGCATTCATGGATACCCATCTTGGCAACTAGTAGGCTACATACTCCACATGGTTTCATTTCATTATTTTTAGATTATTGTAATTAAAAACATAAAATGGAACTTACTGAGTTGCAAAGCAGACGTTTAATTACAGGCGTACTATTTTCTGGAATTCTTTTCATACACTTCAAAAGTATTCTTAGAGAATCAGAGTTCTAAGAGATTGCAGTCTAGTGTTTTATATGGATGGGTGCCCATCAACTCAGGAAAAAAAGATCCAGAGATGTATACATTAATTATTTATGAAAATTGTCAACGCTGCCTCCCTCGGCCAAGAAACGGAGATGAACACCATGCCCTGGACACGACTGACAGGGAAACCTTTATCTTTTTTATTTACTAAACACATTTATATGGCCACCCAATTCACATATGGTAACTTCAAGATACATTGAAGTGGCTGTGAACTTCCAGAAAAGCTAGAGTAAGCAATGAGGACCAATCTCACCACTTTGCCTTCTGGAAAAATGACTGGATTGGCAATCTGGCAGTCGTTTTGTGAGAGAGCCACAGCACGCTTTTAAATTCTGCGTGTATCAGCCTAAAAGGATAAGGACCTTTAACATTGTAAGCTGCCCAGGGGTCACTTTGTGGTTGAGATGGGCAGCAGATAAATTTAATAAACAAACTTCTCTGTGTCATTCTTCTAGATTTGTCCCAGCTGAGATCAAATTGCCACTTGCAGCATTGTAATGTTCAACCTGCAGAAACTTAATTTAACGGAACAGATTGGAAGGGACCTTAGAGGTCTTCTAGGCCAACCACCTGCTCAAGCAGGAGATCCTTTACCATTTCAGAAAAGTGGCTGCCCAGTCTCCTCTTAAAAACCTCCAGTGATGCAGCACCCACAACTTCTGAAGGCAAGCCGTTCCACTGATTAATTGTTCTCACTGTTAGGAAATTTATCCTTAGTTCTAGGTTGCTTCTCCCCTTGATTACATTTCAATCTGAGGTTGAGGATTTGGTTCTTGGAATGAACCAATTAGAAGAAATTCTATGGCTGTTTCTAAGAGCAGCAACTCTGTTTCTTGGTTCCTTTTCATAATGATGATGATGATGATGATGATAATAAAGATGGAAGGGACCTTGGAGGTCATCTAGTCCAACCCCCTGCTCAGGCAGGAAACCCTATACCATTTTGGACAAATGGCTGTCCAGTCTCTTCTTTAAAAACTTCCAGTGTTGGAGCATTTACTGCTTCTGGAGGCAGGTTGTTCCACTGGTTAATTGTTCTGTCAGGAAGTTTCTCTTTAGTTATAGGTTGCTTCTCTCCTTGATTAGTTTCCATCCGTTGCTTCTTGTCCTGCCTTCAGGCGCTTTGGAAAATAGCTTGACTCCCTCTTCTTTGTGGCAGCCCCTGAGATATTGGAACACAGCTATCGTGTTTTGTCCTTCTCTTTGTTAAACTAGACATATCCAATTTCAGCAACCGTTCCTTATATGTTTTAGCCTCCAGTCCCCTAATCATCTTTGTTGCTCTTCTCTGTACTCTTTTTAGAGTCTCAACATCTTTTTTACATCGTGGTGACCAAAACTGGATGCAGTATTCCAAGTGTGGCCTTACCAAGGCATTGAAAAGTGTATTAATACTTCACGTGATCTTGATTCTGTCCCTCTGTTAATGCAGCCTAGCACTGTGTTGGCTTTTTTGGCAGCTGCAGCACACTGCTGGCTATATTTAAATGATTGTCCACTAGGACTCCGAGATCCCTCTCACAGTTACTACTATTGAGCAAGGTACCCCCTATACCATACCTGTGCATTTGGTTTTTCTTGCCTAAATGTAGAACCTTACTTTTTTCACCATTGAATTTCATTTTGTTAGCGCCCAGTGTTCAAGTCTGTCCAGATCCTCCTGTATCCTAAGCCTGTCTTCTGGAGTATTGGATATTCCTGCCAGCTTGGTGTCATCTGCAAATTTGATGAATTCCCCATCTATCCTCTTGTCCAGATCATTGATGAAGATGTTGAAGAGCACTGGGCCCAGAACAGAGCCCTGGGGCACCCCACTACATACTTCCCTCCATGTAAATGTGGTTCCATTGAAGACCACATGCTGAGTATGGCCAGTATGGCCAGCCAGCCAGCTACGGATCCATCTGGTGGTGAGGCTGTCTAACCCACATTTTTCTATCTTATCAAGTAGTAGGTCGTGGTCTACTTTGTCAAATGCCTTACTGAAGTCTACGTAAATTATATCTACAGCATTCCTCTGGTCCATTAATTTTGTCACTTGGTCAAAGAATGCAATAAGATTTGTCTGGCATGATCTGTTTTTGACAAACCCGTGTTGGCTTTTAGTAATGACTTGGCTTGCCTCTAGGTGTTCGTTGATTTGTTGTTTGATTATCTTTTCCAGAATCTTCCCAGGTATTGAGGTCAGGCTGATAGGTCTGTAATTTCCTGGGTCCTTTTTCCCCCCTTTTTTGAAGATGGGAACTATATCAGCTCTTTTCCAGTCCTCCGGTAGTTCCCCAGTGCTCCAGGATCTTTGAAAAATATAGTTCAGTGGTTCTGAGATCACATCTGCCAGTTCCTTAAGAACCTTGGGGTGTAATCCATCTGGTCCTGGTGGTTTGAACTCATCTAGGCTTATTGAGTTGACTGATGCTCTAGAGAAGATTTCTGTGTGGTGGTGGGAAAAATCAAAGGTCCAGAACTTCCTGTCATCCATAGAAGCAACTGAGAATGAATAAATAATGTTCGTAGCATTCACTTAGAGAATTATATCCCATTAAAGCAGAAAGCAAATATAGATATACCCAATTCTAATTAGAATTCAGATTAAATGTAATCTAGTGCTTATTATTGTAAAGCTGATACATCTTTTGTAACTTGATGTCGTCCCAAACTACTGGACTTCAAGTTCCTTTGGCAGTGTTGTCTGGACATCATAGAAGAAGAGTCCAATATATTTAAAGGACAACTAATTGAAGTAAGACCACTTCTAAGAGACAGGGTCTTTCAGAAAGAGTAGGGTTTCACCAATACTTGAAGTAGTTAAGAGAAGTAGACATGATAGCTGAGGTAGCAGAGATGAAAAAGCAAAGTTCATGTTGGAGATATAAGAAATATTATAATATTGTGTCATCAATATGGCAGTAATGAGTCTGTGTTTCAATTATATGTGGTCCAACTTATATGGCTTATTTATCTGTTTACCATTTATTTGCTGCTCCAGTCAAAAATGATTCCAAATGGTTTAGATTCCCCATTAAAGTAATAAGGTCAAATTAAAGCTAAATCAACATTATTGAAACCAAATAGGCAGAAACTGTCATCTCCACATAGCCATACTTGTCAAACCACAACCATCACTTAGTTCTGCAGGAGCCACTTAATATTTCTCCATTCCCAAATGCCCCAGGAGGGTGTTAATTGCATTGTGGAAAAAATATCTTGGATGGGACTGACCTTATCCTTGAGGATTGTTCAAGAGGAGTGCTTTTTTC